TCAGGCTCACCATAGACTAGGCAGCTTGGACAACAGAAATTTATTATCTGACATTTCCAGAGGCTGGAAGTCTGAGGTCAAAGTGTCAGCAGGACCGGTTTCTCCTGAGGTCTCTCTCCTTGACGTGTGGATGGTCTTCTTCTCCCTGTGTCTTCACATGGTCTTAACCTATACATTTGTCTATCTCTGTGTCCAAATTTCTCTTTATAAGGACACCAGTCACAGGGTTAGAGCTCATCTGTGTGACCTCATTTTTTTAAAAGATTTTATTTACTTATTTGATAGAGAGAGACACAGCAAGAGAGGGAACACAAGCAGAGGGAGTGGGAGAGGGAGAAGCTGACTCCCCACTGAGCAGGGAGCCAGATTCGGGGCTCTATCCCAGGACCCTGGGATCATGACCTGAGCTGAAGGCAGATGCTTAACAACTGAGCCACTGAGGTGCCCCTGTATGACCTCATTTTTAAAGACTATGTCCAAACGTGGCCACATTCTGAGGTACTGGGGGTTAGGACTTCAACAAATGAATTCCAAGCAGAGAGCACACCTCAACCCATAACAGAGAGGTAGGTGTTGAGAACAACTCGATGGGGTGTGTCTTCCTGGAATCAGGCCTCATCCCTGCTTGGCCCTGGGTCTGTGTTGCCCCCAGAGAGTACTTTTCCTCTCAGAAGTCCAAGGCAGGGCTTCAGCTTTTCCCTTGTTCTCCAGTTGTCCTGCTGGAGCTTGGCCTGCCTTGCTCCCACTTCTAACACAGGGCCCATCCACAGGAAAGGCCATTCCTGTCCATGCGCTGCCTGTCCTTGTGGCAGCAATCTTCATAGGCCTGTGCAGCTCCTGGGAACCACCTCTGGTCTGGTGTGGTCTGATTAGAAAGCACAGTATCGCTGAAAAGTGTATGTTATGTCGAAGAAAGCTTAATATAAAATATTTTTCTCATTTCTATTCAGTTCATCTTTTATTCTGAATAAGCATGAGTGGAACTTTGACTCAAACTGTTTGTTTTTTACTATAGTCCCTCAGAAATAGTTTCCATGTGCAGCCAAGAGAACTGTGGCCACAGGCATCCTCTCATTCCAGACATGGGAATGGTGTTTTGTGTGTACCATCTTATGCATGCTGATGTCTTGATGCATTAGCCAACAATGAGGTTTCCAGTCTTCAATCTTTTTTAAAGAAAAACCTCTGTCCTGGAATTGCCAAAGGGGAGGGGGCATTGACACAGTGTTGTTTGAACACTCTCCTGTGTTCCTTGCATGCCACCAGAAGAATTGGTGCTGTATCAGTTAAATAACAGGCTTGTGGAAAATACATCCCCCTAGCATGAATTCTGGCTTTGTCTTTATGATTTAGCCTCTCTTCTTCACCAGAAAATATATTCATTTCCCTGGTTGTGAAGAACATGGGTTGTGTCTGAGATTGGGTGGTAGTCCTGCCCCTCATGACAGCAACCAGGGTCCAGATGTGGCAGCAAGTATTGTTTCCCCAGAAACCTTCTGTGCTTCCTCTGACTTTATATTCCCCAGAACAGTTCTACTGTCCGTGTCAGTGACACAGCGTTAGGAGGTGGTGGGAGGGAAAATACCTGCAGGTGTCCTTGGTGAGCTTTAAGAACCATAGAGGAGTCTGAGCTATGTGTGTGGAGGAGGGGTGGGGAGGCTGTCTACTGATGATGTGAGAAGATGGCTTTTCTGAAGTCCGCTTTAGAGGCACTGCCTGATGTAGCTTAGGCTGGGCCCCTGCTCTAGTTCTAGAAGCCTCCAAGGCCTCCCCTTGTGTGCTTATCAGGCTCCGGGACCAGATCTGTCCCAGTGTGATCCTAGCATAGGGTGATTCTGGTCAGCATGGATGATGATGAGGCCATCTTTAGTGGATCGAGAGGACAAGTTTGAAAACCAGTGCCTTAAACTTGAACTACCCCTCTGACTCAAAACAATGAGGAAATCCAATTAATAAAATGGAATTTACCACATTTCAAATTTAATGTATTAATATTTTTAATAAACTCATGACTTTCTGTAAGAAGGATGTAGAAAATATTGCTGAAACTAATACAATTCCCTTTTCTAAACCTGTTGCATTTCTATACACCAATAATGAAGAAGCAGAAATAGAAATTAAGGAATCAGTCCCATTTACAATTGCACCAAAACAGTAAGTTACCTAGGAGTAAATCTAACCAAAAAGATGAAAGACCTGTACTCTGAAAACTATAAAACACTGATGAAAGAAATTGAAGAGGACACAAAGAAATGGAAAAGCATTCCATGCTCATGAATTGGAAGAACAAACATTGTTAAGATGTCTCTATTATCCAAAGCAATCTACACATTTAATGCAATCCCTATCAAAATACCAACAGCAGTTTTAACAGAGCTAGAAAAAACAGTCCTAAAATTTATATGGAACACAAAAGACCCCAAATAGCCAAAGAAATCTTGAAAAAGAGGAGCAAAGGTGGAGGCATCACAATTCCAGACTTCAAGTTATATTACAAAGCTGTAAGGGTCAAGATAGTATGGTACTAGCACAAAAACAGATACAGATCAATGGAACAGAATAGAATTGGACCCACAACTCTATGGTCAACCAATCTTTCACAAAGCAGGAAAGAATATCCAAGGGAAAAAACAGTTTTTTTTAACAAATTGTGTTAAGAAAACTAGACAACAATATGCAGAAGAATGAAACTGGACCACTTTCTTACACCATACACAAAAATAAATTCAAAATGAATTAAAGACCTAAATGTGAGACAGGAAACCATTAAAATTCTAGAGAGCACAGGCAGTAACCACTTTGGCATCAGCTGTCGCAGCTTCTTACTAGATATGTCTTCTAAGCAAGGGAAACAAAACCAAAAATGAACTATTGGGATATCATCAAGATAAAAAGGTTCTGCACAGCAAAGGAAACAATCAACAAAACTAAAAGGCAGCCTGTGGAATGGGAGAATATATTTGTGAATGACATATCTGATGAAGGGTTAGTATCTAAAATCTAGGAAGATCTTATCAAACCCAACACCCCAAAAACCAATAATCCAATTAAAAATGTCCAGAAGACATGAATAGACATTTTTCCAAAGAATACATGCAGATGGCCAATAGACTCATGAAAAGATGCTCAACATCACTCATCATCAGGGAAATACAAATCAAAACTATAATGTGATATCACTTCACACCTGTCAGAATGGCTAAAATCAACAACACTAGAAACAACAGGTATTGGAGAAGATGTGGGGAAAGAGGAACCCTCCTACACTGTTGGTGGGAATGCAAACTGGTGTGGCCACTCTGGAAAACAGTATGGAAGTTCCTCGAAAAGTTAAAAATAGAATTACCCTAGGATCCAGCAATTGCACTATTAGGTATTTACTCAGAATACAAAAGTACTAATTCAAGGGGATACATGCCCCCAATGTTTATAGCCGCAGTATCTACAATAGCCAAATAATGATCAATCAGTTGATGGATCAAGAAGAAATACACACACACACACACACACACACACACAGGAATATTACTCAGCCATAAAAAGAATGAACTCTTGCTATTTGCTAATGATGTGGATGGAGCTAGAGTGTATTATGCTAAGCGAAATAAGTCAGTCAGAGAAAGACAAATACCATATGATTTGACTCATGTATGGAATTTAAGAAACAAAACAAATGAGCAGAGGGGAGAAAAAGAGAGAGAGGGGCAAACCAAGAAATAGACTCTTAACAATAGGAACAGACTGATGGTTAGCAGAGGGAAGGTTGGAGGAGGAATGAGTTAAATTGGTGATGGGGATTAAGGCGTGCACTTGTGATGAGCACAGGGTGTTATACTGTATAGAACAGTGTATTGTAATATATTGTAGACTCGAAAGGAATATTACACTGTATGTTAACTAGCTGGAATTTAAATAAAAACAAAGAATAATTTGTGTATTTGTGACAACACAAGGTACTGATGAGAAGCAGTGTTCTCTGTGATGAGCAGGAAGTGGGCACGGGACCACGTAGCAACCTTGCCTCACCAACTTCTCACTCAGTCTCACAGTTCCCAGGTCTGCCCTTTCTAGCTGTGGTCTGTCCCTGTGAGGAAAACAAACCTGATGCTGACACCAATTCGTACATGTGGGTTTTTCCTACATATCAAGCAATTCTGTGACACCAGCTGGGTGTCCAATAATTTAACTCAATTCTGACACTCCCTGGAGACTGTGTCAGATCTCACAGGTTAAGGCTCAGTTCCACAAGACTTCCTCACTTCTGATGCCAGCTACAAGTCCATGCTGTCACCTGTTCTTCTGACTAACCTGCCACCAACCCAGAAGAACCCCTTACTATTGGGATTTTATGGAGGCTTCATCACATAGGCATGATCAGTTATTAACTTAATTTCCAGCTGTTCTGCACTCTCTAGAGAATGGAAAGGTGAGGCTGAAAACTCTTAAGTTTCTAGTCATGGCTTGGTCTTTCTGCTGACTAAACTGCATCCAGGAGCCCACCTAGAGTGGCTTCATAAGAACAAAAGATACTCCTGTCACCCAGGAAATTAAAAAGGATGTAGTATCCTATGTCAGGAAAAACTGGGTTCAGAGATGCTCCTAGTGCTCTTATCACTTGGGAAATTACAAGAGTTTGAGGAATCCTATGCTGGGAACTGGGGTCAAAGACTAAGTACTAGAACAAAAGATCCTGCTAGCACCCCTACGTACCAGGGTTTTTAGGAGCCCTGTGTTAGGAACAGGGGGCACAGACATATCTGTCTTACTATTTCATAAAGCCCATGGACAAAACAAACAAACATCAGGCTGTTGAGAAACCTCTAGAAGCCCACTTACTGGTGAGCATCAGCTCCCTCTCAGCTCTTGCAGAGATCCACGGAGACAAGCCACCCAGTCCTGGAGTTCCCAGCGTCCAGGCCTTCCTTCCCCAAGGCAGTGCTCCTTGAGCTGCAAGGTGCACGTAAGCATCCATGTGATGCCTGCCTCCTATTCCTTGACAGCATACACGACAACGGGAAAAAGGCCGGGCTGTATAAAGAAAACCTGCTGCTGCGAGGATGTACCATCAGAAACACGGAAGCTGTTGTTGGCATCGTCATCTATGCAGGTAGGCATGGCCGTGGCACGCGCGGTCCATGACACTGCTGGCTTGCCACCCATGCTGTGTGTCCTTGCACGTTGCTCCTTGCTCTTTTTTTTCTTTTCTGATTATCAAAGTAGCACAAAGACATTGTAAAAATTTAGAAAACCCAGAAAACAGAAAGAAGCAAAATTTCTCATAGTAGCTCAACCAAAGTGTTCTCTCTTAGCATTTTAGCTTATTTGTTTCCATTGTTCCTCCATGGTGGTTACGTATTTGGGATTCCTTTCATACCCTGCAGTTTTGAAGGAACTTATCCTGTAAGTATGATTGGATGGCAGCACTGTCCTTCAGTCCATGAGTCAGGGCGCTGTCGCTCTGCTGTTGGGCACCGATTTACTGCATCCCTCACGCTCCCTGTACAGGACATGAAACCAAGGCTCTGCTGAACAACAGCGGGCCCCGTTACAAGCGCAGCCAGCTTGAGAGGCAGATGAACTGCGATGTGCTCTGGTGTGTCCTCCTCCTCGTTTGTATGTCTCTGTTTTCTGCGGTTGGTAAGTCTCCTTCGTGGGTCACGAATAAGAGGGCACTGCCGGACAGCCTCCAGGTGAGCCCAGTGGGCTGCCGACGACTCATTCTGACCCAGCACTCTGAAGTTAAAACACGCATTTGTCATCCACTTAGACTCAAGGGCTGCTTGCATCCACACAGGCCATGTTAGAGATGCCTAGATGAATGTTAATGTTATTTTTCAAATTTGCAACTTCTTGGATGGAAAAATGGTTTAATCCCACTGGTTATAATGATTCCAGTAGAAGAAGTATTAGTAACCTGGTGATAAACTGAGAATAATTTAGCAGGAGAGGCACAAATGCTCCCCATGAGAACTCCATGAGGAAAGGAAAAAAAAGCCTTTGGGTCTTAAGAAGGACCTAAGCATTAGCTTGCACATGGGCTGTGGTGCTGTCCAGCTTCTGATGGCCTCCAGACCTGGTATGCTGCCTTGGGAATGCCTTGCAGGGGACTGTGTTTCACCTCTGGGTAAGTGATCTTCACCACATCCCCTGCTCAGCGACCATCATGAAGCAGATGAGTGTGATGTGGCCTTGGAGTTCAGTGGTGAAAGACATAGGTGTACGGGACACGGAAAGGGCTTGTGTTATCAGGTGTGGGACCCAGCTGATGAAATACTGTGCAATGCCATTGGCTTCTGAGAGTCCATGACATGTGCAGTGTGAATCTGTAGGAAGGGTCAATAATGGGCAATATCCGGGGCCGACTGACAAGACTGGTGTTTTGTGAGGCACACGCTGGGAAACTCCTCTTTGGGGATTTTCCCATCGGTGGCTGCCAGCACATACCCAATTTCTGCCTCATGACCAGCGTGCTTTTCAGTGCCAATAATGGGAAATGCCTGATGTGAGGAAGAATCCAAGAACCAGTGCCTTCCAGCAGTCTGACTGTGGGTGCCAACAGTACCTGCCATGCGCTTTTGCTTTCTTACATGGCAAGGCAGGCTAATGAGACCCAACGTGCCTGTGTCCATAGTCTTACAGTTTTGCTTTACTTTGCACTAGCAGTGTCTTATTTTCCCACTGGGTGAATGATGTTTCTTTTCGAACGTTGCTGTAGGACACGGACTGTGGGTGCGGCGGTATCAAGAGAAGAAGTCATTATTTGATGTCCCTGAGTCTGATGGCAGTTCTTTATCCCCAGTCACAGCTGCAGTTTACTCGTTTTTGACAATGATAATAGTTCTGCAGGTAACAGTACTAAGTACCATATGATAATTGCTTTACTTTTCTGGTAAGAACTTTAAAGTCATCACACTCTGCTAAGAATGTCCTATAAATTCTGCATCTGGGAGGACCACAGATACACCTGCCTAATGTGCTGCTTCTTACTTTTCCACCTAATTTATCTATAGGGTCTTTTTTGGGTGCTTTTCAAGTTAACATTCTCCTTTGCCGTTCCTAAGATTCTTAGGCCTTATGGGGTTGGTTTTTGGATCATTGGGTTTGTTTTATTTTTCCATTCCATTACTTCTTAAAAAAAAAAAAAAGCCCTAAATTTTATTTTGGGGTAATTTTAAGATCTACAGACAAGTTGCAAAAAATAGTACAGAGAGTTCCCATATGTCCTTCACCCAGAGTCCCCTAATGTGACTGTATTATATTACTATGCTACATTGTCGAAACCAAGAAACCAACTTTGGTACTTTGCCATAAATTCTAGATGCCATTTGGATTCTACTAGTCTTTGCACTGATGTGCTTTATCTGTTCCAGGATTCAATTCCAGATATCACAATTGCATTTTGCAGCATTGGTTTTTATTATTTTTATTACTGTTACTGTTAGTATTATTAGTTCACATGCCTCATGAACAATTCCCCATCACTAACTGAGAACCTGTGCCCAAAAGGCTTGTTCAAGAGTAGAGAAGGGTCAGTTGAGTGTCATGTTAGGAAGACAAAGTGCACAGAGGACCTCTGCTTAGCCTTTGCCTACAAGGGGAGCTCTACTGCCTTTATCACATGTGTTTCATACAGCAGGAACTTTCTACATTAGTCTTTTTTGTGAGTGCACATTTGGTTCTAGCTCTGTACTAGTAGTAGTTCTATAGTAAGCATGGTACTGTAGTAGGTGTTGCATTAACATTGTGTTACCAGGAGAACCCAGTTAGTCTGTCTGGATATGATATTCTGAGCCCATGAACATGAGTTCAATACTGTCATTCAAAAAAAAAAAATTAAACATTGACGTCATGAAGATTATTCTTAAATTGTCAAAGTGTAACTGTGAATATTCTTCTCAAAGCCTTCTTCCCTTTGCTCTGTATCATACAAGATCCCAGAAATTGTCCTTCAACACAACCAGCCTCTGGAAAGACTGTCTCTTCCGAACCCCTGTGGGGTTGTGTCCACGGGATGGGCAGCTCTTGTTGCCGGGAGCCCTGGGAGAGCCTGGGGGCCAAGTGCCGCTGTGGTGCGAGGTGACTTTGCTTATGAGGACTCTGACTGTGCCATGTGTTTTTTTCTCTTTCTCTCTCCTCTTTCCTTTCCTAGCTTCTCTCAAGCACAACTTAGTAATACGAAAATGCTTGCTTCTATCCAAGCCATGGTTACCATTCTTCCAGACACGATAGTGGATTTCTGCTCCGCAGTGACACCATAGGCTGTCCTAGTTTAAACTCTTTGCCAATATCCTAATACTTTTCCAATACTGACTCTAAACCAACCTGGTTAAGCTCTTAAAGGTACAGTATAGTCCCTACTTACTTGTGGTTGTAGTCATTTGTCATTTCAGTAGTTTGGACTACTTCTGCAGCTCCCTGGTCCTCATAATTGTTCATGTGTATGCCTTATGTCTTCTAGGTTTTAATCCCAATTTCCTTATATGTTTCCATTGAAATTGTTAAAGTATGCCAAGTGTACTTCATTCATCAGGATGTAGAGTTGTATGACGAAGAAACGGACTCGCAGCTGCAGTGTCGAGCTCTGAACATCACGGAAGACTTAGGGCAGATACAATATATCTTCTCAGATAAAACTGGCACTTTAACTGAAAATAAGATGGTTTTCCGAAGATGCACTGTGTCTGGCATAGAATATTCCCATGACGCCAATGGTGAGTCTGGGGGTGGGGACCCCCAGTCTGGGCTGGACAGAGAGCCTCTGTGTCAAAGCTGCATGCACACATGTCTGGGCACACGTACATGCACACACACGCACACATGCACACACACACACATACAAGCTTCAGGGATTGCTGATTTTTGAGAGAGAATAAAACACAGAAAGGCTGTTAGAGCAACTCAGGAGACTGAAGCGTGGCAGCATTTATAGAAGCAAACATAGAATTCCATGTTGCTGACAGTGCCCTGTTCACCCCAGTATCTCAGTGTGGTGGGCATCTGCTTAAAGACTCTTTTTCTACCAGACAAGAGAACCAAGAAGGGCATTCTTGAGGAAGTCACTTCTGAGGCACCCAGTCTCTTTGCTGCACCAAAAAATGAAGAGATGCTTTTATTGTCACCCATCAGCCTCCTTGTTATTAGCTGAAAATTCTCAGAAGGGCATTGGGCAATTCATGCTGTATTCTTTCCCTTAGAAAATGATGTTAGTAGAAGCTGGAAAGAAATATCACTCCTGTTTGAATTTTACAGGTGGTTGCTCCTCCTACCTCTCCTTTCCTTATCCTTTGCTGCCTCTGTCCTCCCTGAACCCATACGGGAGCTATCCACTTCATAAGCAGAGGGTATGACTGGAACCATCCACCCGTCTGAGCCAGGAGAGGGCACCATGATAAGGTGGGCCAGCTCTGCAACCAGTGCCCCTCTCCTTCCTGTAACAGCATCTGAGAACATGAAAGAAGTCTTGCCACAGGAACAGAAGCAAATAATAGAACAGGAGTCAGTATGTGGGCTTCATTAGGAAGCTGTTCTTTTAGGGGGGTATGGCAGGAAAGATCTGTTAGAGGCATGAGATTTTTGCGAGTTTCATGAAACCAAGAATTATGATATCCACGAAGGCCCTTTATGTAAAATTAAAGTAATCATATTAAATAGAAGACATAGGAACTTATCCACTATGTTTATTGCTTTATTTGCCTCCCAAAATAAATGGTCAGTCACTGCCCACCTGTCCCCCTAGCACTCTCCCCTTCCATAACTCCTCAGCCTTGTGCAGAAGAGCTCATTTGCCTGAAAGCAGAGCTTAGCCTAACTGTAAAGGAGCCAGAGACCCAGGTCTGAAGTTGGGTCAGAAGCAGCCTGTGAAAGCTGGGCCTGAGACTCCATGCGCGGAATCCCAGCTAAGATTACAGAAAAATGTTGACAGTTGTCAGATGCTTATCATAAAATCAAAGGATTGCATTGCCTCTGGAAGACACAGGAAAGCATTTGTGGTGAAGACCAAAGCAAGCAGGCCTCGCTGCTGCATGTTTGAAAAAAAAATGCTGTGATCAGTCATTGACATGCACCTGGGGCCAGGAGCAACGTCAGCTGTTATTACCCATGACCTGACCTCTCAGATCTCATTAGTAAAATGAATTCAGATGACTTTGTGCGATGAACCCAGTTCACATGGAGACTGTGGGTTTGGCCATCTCTGACCTTATGTCCCGGTTACGTTGTGTGCCCCAGATGAGGCATCACCTACCTGCTTCCTGCCTTCCCTCGACACTGAGGGCATCGCTCAGGCCACTGCTGGTCAGAAACTGCTGCATCATTGTAGACCACAGACACATCAGCAGTGGTCTGAGGGATTGCTGCGTTTAGGCTAACATCCAACTACTGCTGCAGGAGGGTGGGACAGGCTGGTGTATCCTTCGAGAGGCTGACCCAAGCTCCTAATGCACAAGCCCAGGAGCTTGACAGCACCATGTCCGGGCTTTGTTCTTCCCTGCCGTTCATTCACCACCAAACTGGGGCTTCCATCAGCCAGGAGTGGGTGGGACGGGCAGAGGAGATTTGCTTCTGGGGTGAGGAACTCCCGGAGTTGGATCCTGGTATTGGCAGTTAGTTGGCCTTGTGACCATGGGTGACTTATCTTTCCTTATCTCTGTTTTTCTCATCCCTAAAGAAAAGTCTTCCTAATGAAAGATGCTCAATATAAGGCGTAGCTCACAGGACAGACCAATGCCACAGGCATGCCCAGATTGGAGGGCCCTTCTAAGCCCCTCAGGCAGGCCACCTTGTGTTAAGATACCTTGTGCTCACACCCAGCACTGGACCTGCCCTGGAAGTTCTTAATAATTGCTTGTTTTGAATGAGTAATCTTCATGACTAGTCTCCTTGCTCGTCTGTGATGAAACAAGCTTAATTAACTGGGGAAAGCCAGAAAAATGTCTTCAGAGCCATCCATTAGCAAGAAGCAGTGCAGATGTACCTCATAATTCACTGAGTGGTCATGTAGCCACAAGGACTTTGCTGGTCAGTGCCCCCTTGAGGGCTCAAGCATAGCCATGCAGTCAAGGTCGTCTTCAGTGGAGCATTGCCTGCTGGGTCTATATCCTGGTGGCATTTGTCCACCCTGTGCAACCCACAAGGACTGTTAGCCTCCCTGTTGGGTAGACCTTCATCCATACAGTGTAAATGCAGACAGTACCCACCACCTACCTGGCCTTTAACAAAGATTCCCCATGGTAAAGCACCATAACACAGCCTGAGAACCATTATTTCTGTGTGATTGCAGGGCAGACGTTCAACATGTGATCTGTCCTGACAGCCCCAGTGAGCCAGGTGGTTCCATGACCCCAGTTTAGTTAAAGGGCAAATCCTGAAGCCAGGTTACTCTGTGGGCTAGGCCTTCACTGTCTTCCCTTCCTTTGCCCCTGTTGTCTGCTGCCCAAACCCCATTCATCACACCTAGGGTCCACCTGAATAGGGGGGCTGTATGTGAATCTGTCTGTCCACTCCTTACTTGTTTGTGGAGTGCGATGGCCACTGTGCCAAAATGCACTGGACCTGAGCTTTAGCATCACCTTGACCTGGATGCCATCTCCACCCTCTTGAGTCCTAATGTACTTAGCAAGCTCCTTACGTTCTCTGTGACTCATCTGTGCTTGGGGTTGAGAATGTCAGCCTCACCAGGTTGCCTGTAGGTCCAGATAAAATGAGAGCGGCCTCCATCTCTCAGTGGAAACTCATTATATGTGGCCTTGCCTTTAAGAAAGCGAGGCTGGCGAGTGCTCTGAATCAGTTTCATTTTCCTAGCCTTCCTGTGACGTGTCACCCCATGTCCCTCTGCCCACAGCCCAGCGTCTGGCCAGGTACCAGGAGGCAGACTCCGAAGAGGAAGAGGCGGTTCCCAGAGGGGGATCGTTGCCCCAGCGCAGCAGCATCGGGAGCCACCAGAGCGTTCGCGTCATGCACAGGACCCAGAGCACCAAGTCACACCGGCGCACAGGCAGCCGGGCTGAGGCCAAGCGGGCCAGCATGCTGTCCAAGCACACGGCCTTCAGCAGCCCCATGGTGAGTCCCACTCAGGACGGCAGCTGCCCATGCTGGGGCTGTATCACCTTTCCTGGTCCTGCTACTTCCCTTCATTCCTCCAAAGTATCTGCATGTAACAATACGAATGAGCTGTTGCTGGGGGTTTAGCTCTGCTCAGTGAACAGAACTTTTGTGGCCAACACCTCTTCAAACCCATGTATCTTTCCTAAAATGCTGACACGGCCCCTTTGCCTTGGCCTCTAAGGATGGGGGATTGCAGGTGAACTACCCAGATGGGCGCTGGAGAGGAAGGCTGTCCTGCCAAATGAAATGCATAAAACATCAGAGCAGGATGACAACTGTGAAAAAGCAAAGCCAAGTGGCGGGGGGGGGAGGGGAGTTTTAATTAGATGAACCCAAATCCAATAAACTTCTTTCTCCCTTGTCTTGACAGCTGCCCAAACATTTATGGACCATTCTGGTCAGGCAGGGAAATTTCCAGGAGTGAGTGAGTGAGGATCTCTAAAAAACCTTTCACTTCTGAAATGTTTTAAGAGCAGAGAGGGAGAATCCATTTTGGTTCCTCTGTGGTGGCCTCATTCTCTTCTGTCCTTAGAAACCATACAGAGTCTGCCATTACATGGCGGTCGCTGATTGGTGGGTTTACGCAGGGGTACCTGGGAGGAGGGCCCTCATGCTTGACAGGAGGGGGACTGTGTTGGAGCAAGCTTTCCTGGCTTTGATTTAGCAATATGGGTCCAGAGTATTTGAAATATTCAAACTTCCTGACCTAGGAATTTAGGGATTCAGCCAAAGTTTTCTGTGCCTAGCAGTTTGTCAGTGAAAAAAAAATGTATTCAGTGATAAAAGAATGGCCAAATGAATCATAGTGTGTCTGTTTTGACGTTGTTAAAAGTCTGGAAAAGTTTAGACTGCAGTTGAGCCTGGAACAGCACAGGTCTGAACTGTACAGAACAACTTACACGCAGATTTTTAAAAATAAATACAGTACTGTATTTTCCTTAGGACTTTCATAATATTTTCTTTTTTAAAATTTGTTTAAAGATTTTATTTATTTTGAGAGAGAGAGGGAGAGAGATCACAAGCAGGAGGGATGGGTAGAGGGAGAAGCAGGCTCCCCGCTGACCAGGGAGCCCGACGTGGGGCTCGATCCCAGGACCCCAGGATCATGACCTGAGCCGAAGGCAGACGCTTAGCCAACCGAGCCACCCAGGCACCCCTTAATAATAATGTTTTCTTTTCTCTAGGTTATATAATTGTAAGAATATAGTATATAATACATATAACAAACAAAATATATTATTAGTCAACTGTTTATGTTATCAGTAAGGCTTCCAGTCAGTAGTAGGCTAATTTTAGGAGTGTCAAAAGTTATATAGACTTTTCACCTGCACAGGGATCAGCACCCCAATCCCTGCATTGTTCAAGGATCAGCTGTATATAGTGTTTTGGGGAAAATGGACACTGCCAATTTATGTATAAATTTTTTTATTGAGCTATAATTGACATATAACATTGTATAAATTTAAGGTGGGAATGCAAATCAGAAATATAATGAGATACCACTTCACACCTCTTAGAATGGCTATCATCAAAAAGCTAAGAGATAAGAAGTGTTGGCAAGGATGTGGGGAAAAGGGAACCCTCATGCACTGTTGGTGGGAATGCAAACCCTCATGCACTGTTGGTGGGAATGCAAACTGGTACCCAGCCACTGTGGAAAACAGTAAGGAGGTTCCACAAAAACTTAAAAAATAGAATTACTGTATGATCCAGCAACCCCACTTCTGGGCTTATGTCAAAAGGAAATGTATAAAATATTTGATGATGTAAAATGTAAATGTACAGAAAAAAGACTGGAAGGAGACAAAGAAGTGTGTGTTTCAAAAAGTATGTATTACTGTGAGGTGATGTGATACAGATTTGTTAAATTTTCCCTCTTTTTCAAATCTCTCTGAGTCAGATATGTTATAATAACATATATTCTTAGCTGTATGACTTTATAATGAGAACGTGTGTGTTATAAGAACATACGCATTTCATTCCATATGTAAGTCATATATTCTTGTACCAATTATATACATTATTCATCACTATAAAATGGCATATGCATGTGAGTCAGATGAAGGTGTCTTCAGAGCTTATACTGAAATCAGGGTGCCTTAAACAGTCAAGCACTAAGACGCTTTCACTGGGTTATACTCACCCCTCAGTCTCTGTCTTCTTCCAGGAGAAAGACATCACACCCGATCCAAAGCTGTTGGAGAAGGTGAATGAATGTGACAGGTGCCTGGCCACCGCAAGGCCCCAGGAACGCCCACTGGCCCACCTTTCGCCAGAGCTCTCTGACGTGTTCGACTTCTTCATCGCACTCACCATCTGCAACACAGTAGTAGTCACATCCCCGGATCAGCCACGACAAAAGGCAAGCTCTGGGGTATCCCTGTGAAGCCGACGCCTTTGACCTTCAGCATCGTCCCACTGTTGTCAGTCTAACCTTCCCAGCAGGACTGCTCAGCACTACCTCTCAGGTTTAAGGGGATATAGTAGGGGGCTTTGTGGAGGGCAAGCCAGCTCATTGGTTCTGTGGTGCCGTCCCCAGGCTACCATGGACAGGTAAGGGGATTGGGGCCAAAGGGAGAGGAAAAACTTCTGAGCCCATAATGGGTGGGCATATAACAGCCTAGACTGGAGTGGGGCTGCCCTGCACAATCTACACAGAGCTTCAGGGTTCCAGATTCTCATGAGAGAGTGGACAGGACAGGCTTGGGGCCCAGAAAATCGCCTGGACTTGAATCTTGACTTTACCAACAGGCTGAGCAGCTTTGGACAAGCCATTCCCCTCCTGTGCCTTACGGATCTTATCTGTGACATGGAGGCAGTGGTGAGGGTTTAGAGGAAGGGCTCAGAGAAGGGCTTGGCACACAATAAATGTATTTGATGTGAAAAGGGCCTTTAACATTGTCTTTAAAAGAGAAGTGGTCAAGAATCAATCCGAGGTTACTTAAGATGGTGGAAACATAGCAATACCCAAGTTGGTTTTTGCTTGGGTAATTATAAGGTTCTCTCTGAAGAGAGTAAAGTTTCATGTGCAGACAGGTCCTTTATAACCCCAGTGGTTCTCAGGAAGTCCTCTAGGTAGGCCGGGAGGTGTGTGTGTAGGAAGTACACCTAAGGAGGGATGTGCATAATGCAGCTAAGCAACTTTAAATGGATAAAAATGAAGGTGTTCTAGAGCTAGATGCATGCCATACACCTACCCCTCAACCCCCCACTCTCCCAGACCTCTTTCCCTCCTCCTGAGCCAATCCTTCTAGCAGGTTCCACTGATGGAGCCATTGGTGTGTGATGTGGGGTAAACCAAGGGTCTCTGCTCTTTTCACAGCAGCATACCTGGCAGTAACGCAGCCCCCCCTCCCCCTTGCTCCTGCTCCTGCCACACTGGCCTGCAGAAGCCCCAGGGGGCCTGACAGGTCCAGAGTGGACAAGGTCCCCACCACCCAGAAACTGCAGGATTGCACCGTCTGCCTTAGGCGAGGGCTGCTTCCTGGTGCAGCTCACCTCTTAGCTGCCTCAGCATCCTTCATCTGGCCTTCAGATTCTTCCACCGTCCTATATTCAGTCCTGCTGGCATGCATCCCTGGAGAAGTGTCTGGTTTCTAGTTAGACCTGTCTGAGACCCAGGCATTGCTGCAACTACTGAATAAGTGAGAGAGACCCCAACATAACTGAGGCATGTGGTGATGGTCACATAGGCAGTGCGTTCCACATAGGGAGCAGAATATTTAATCCCCCACCCTCAGACTGCAGATGAATAGGTCTCTGGATGCACTCCTCTTTCCACATATTAGTGAGTGCGATATTTCAGGGTATTTGGAGCCAGTAGGAGCTCCAGTGTGGCTGTTTGAATCTCCCCCTTGAATATGTAGCACAGTTAAAGTCATTATAGAAACAAAGAAGCACCTTTATCAAAATTGGTCCCATGTGCCTTGCTTTACCAAATACCTGACTTTTCTGCAGGCTATTATGTAATTTACAACTTTAGTCACATGGGGAAAATTATGAAAATTTAAGGCTAACTATAATTCAATGTTTTGCTTGTTGCAACATTTGCTGTAAATCTATTTTCTAGCAGAAAGTTAAAATAGGCATATTATACTAGCATTAGTGAACACTATTCATTTAAATAAAGTATTGCAGTTGCTGCATTGTTGAGCTTTTTGGAACTTTAGCAAATGTATACAACTGTCATTTTGTTGTTTTCACTTCTTGTTAGAAGATAATGCGATTTATTGTGACTTTAAAAAAATGTGCTAAATGATTTGAATCCTGAATTTGTCCAAGCGTTTAATTTGTTTAGAAAAGTTTTTGGGTCTGGGAGTGTTATTTAAATTTTATATGGACATAATTCAAAGGACTGTATAAACTGGTCTTTTGTAAATGCATTTTGTAATGGGGGGGAGGGATTTGTGCCAGGGATTTGTGCCAGGCGTGTTCTTCTGAACCTTTTCTGCAAAGCAGTGGGACATTGCGGTGTGGGGACAGCTGGCAGAGGGGATAGTCTCAGAGCCTTCAGGTACCACTAGCCACACACTCCCTGAGTCAGGCCAGGGCCTCCGTGTGGCTACCCAGGTGATCACATTCTAAAAGAACGTATACTGCTAATTTTTGTTTAAGTGAAATGGAAGAGGCCAAAGGATGGTCTCAAGGAAGAAATGCTGGCTCTGGTTGTGTGCCTCCAAATCTGGGAAACGGGAACTCTGTGCTCTGAGCCCTCAGGGGGAGTGGGGGAGTGCCCTGTGGCCGTTTGGGCGAGGCCTTTGCATATACCTCACATGTCTTCTGACTGCCTGTCTTTCAGGTGAGGGTGAGATTTGAGGTGAAGTCCCCCGTGAAGACCATAGAAGACTTCCTACGGAGGTTCTCACCCAGCCGCCTGACCTCAGGCTGCAGCAGCATCGGGAGCCTGACCGCCAACAAAGCCGCCCACAAGTCAGGGTCCAACTTTCTGTCCACCCTATCCAATGACAGCACACTGTTCAAGCTGGAGGAGAGGCTAGGCCAGCCAGCCGCGGCCATCGCCAGCAATGGCTATAGCAGTGGGGCTGCCAGCTGGGGCCCGGAGCACACTGCCCAGGAGCAGAAGCTGCAGCGGGAGCAGGAGCGGGAGCTGCGCTATGAGGCAGAGAGCCCTGACGAGGCGGCGCTTGTGTATGCTGCGCGGGCCTACAACTGTGCCCTGGTGGACCGGCTGCACGACCAGGTGTCTGTGGAGCTGCCCCACCTGGGCAGGCTCACCTTCGAGCTCCTGCACACGCTGGGCTTCGACTCTATCCGCAAGAGGATGTCAGTGGTGATCCGGCATCCACTCACCGATGAGATCAATGTCTACACCAAAGGAGCCGACTCAGTGGTCATGGACCTCTTGCTGCCTTGCTCCTCAGGTATCCAGCTCCCCTCCACTGGGTGGTACCCCCAGCTCCAGGTGGAAGTCCCAATAAATTAGCCCTTTTCCTCAGTCCCTTCCCATTGGATTTCATTAAGCCTTTTCTAAAGCAATGCCCATCAGAGGTTTGCCTCTCTGGATCACCCGTTCCTCCTTCGAGGGGTTTGGACTAGAATGCACTGGGGGCTGGAGGATGGAGGGCTTCAGTGCCTGAACTCCCCTTAGAACAGTGGGGTCGAGGGTCACTTGGGGGGAGGCCTAGCATCATTTTAAATCTGGACAATGAAGGTTAAGATCTTTTAGACTAGAAGTTCCAGAAGGTTGCTTCCTGCTCTGATTGCCTGGACCATGTCTTCTATGGAGGTTCTCACCCAGCTGCCTGACCTCAGGTCATGGTTTGTAGCCCAATTGTGGAGCTGCCTCAGGCCACAGTGAGAGCTTAGGTATTGGAGGCTGCTGGCCTCTCAACCACCATCTGTCCCACCTTTGGGCAGAGCAGCTCCATCTTAGTCTCTTTCATGTACTAGAGTTCCATATAACTTCTGTGTTTAAAAAAAGGAATTTGAAAACCACTGGTGTTAGTGGAACTTTATCCAGCAGAAGGGCTTGCTTGAACCTCCTTCTGGATACAAAAGCTTCTGTGCCTTGAGAGGGGAATGGCCTAGGTCCCCATTCGTAAATGTGGTCACCCCTCCTCTCTACTTGGAGGATGAAGGCATGCCCTTCTGACGTCCAGGGAGAGAGGTGGGATGGAGGGGAGGATGCTGCTGGCAGACAGAGGGGTACATGCTGCGGCTCTGCTGCCTGGCCTGCACAGTCTTCCTGTCTGTTGTATCCTGGAAACATCTCTAGGTACAACCTGCTGTGAAAGCCTGTCCACTGGGTGCGGTCTGTCCAGAGCTCTGGGATGGAGCTAGAGAATACTTTACTTCCCATAGTCCTTTCGCCACAATCTCAGTGCCTCCGAACAGGACTCCTGGCTCCCAGGTACAGCAGCACTCTGCTGTGGGGAGATGCACTGGACGATTTCTGCAGAGAAAATCCTTTTCCCATGGCAGAACTGTTGTAAACAGGTCTCCAAAAACAGTTTGGGTAGCTTTTCATGGTGAAAACCTACCAGAGGGCAGGATTTGCCTTTCCACCCCAGGGGTTCTGTGCTAGAGTGGACATAGAATCCAATTCATAGGCTGATTTTGCATTCCAAGAATCTTCTTCATTCTCCCATTCCATAGGTTGCCTTTTGGTTTTGTTGCTTGTTTCCTTTGCTGTGCAGAAGCTTTTTATTTTGATGGAGCTTTTTATGCTTATGTTTCCCTTGCCTCAGGAGACCTGTCTAGAAAAGATGTGGCTATGGCCAATGTCAGAGAAATTACTGCCTATGTTATCCTCTAGGATTTTTATGGTTTCGGGTCTCACATTTAAGTCTTTCATCCATTTTGAGTTTATTTATGTATATGGTATAAGAGAGTGGTCCAGTTTCATTCTTCTGCATGTGGCTGCCCAATTTTCCCACCATTTATTGGGGAGAAAAAAAGACACCGGAAAAAAACACAAACACATGGAAGCTAAACAACATGATACTAAGCAACCAAAGGGTCAATAAAGCAATCAAAGACGAAATCAGAAAGTACATGGAAACAAATGAAAATGAAAATACAGTGGTCCAAAACCTATGGGGTGCAGCAAAGGTGATCATAAGAGGGGAGTATATAGCGATACACGCCTACCTCAAAAAAACAAGAAGAAGTTCAAATAAACAATCTAACCTTACACCTAAAGGAACTAGTAAAAGAAGAACAAACAAAGACCAAGAGGAGTAGAAGGAAGGAAATCGTAAAGATCACAGCAAAAATAAATGACATAGAGACTAAAAAAACAGTAGAAAAAAATCATTAAAACCATGAGCTGGTTCTTTGAGAAAGATAAACAAAATTGATAAGCCTTAGCCAGGCTCATCAAGAAAAAAAAAAAGGACCCAAATAAATAAAACCAGAAACAAGAAAGAAGTAACAACTGACACCACAGAATACAAAGGATTATAGAGAATACTACAAAAAAATTATATACCAACGAATTGGACAACCTAGAAGAAATAGATAAATTTCTAGCAACATACAATCTTCTTAAACTGGAGAAGAAATAGAAAGATTTTCTATAGAAAATAGAAAATTTTCTATTTCAAGAAGAAATAGAAAATCTGAACAGACTAATTAATAGTAGCGAAATTGAATTGGTAATCAAAAAACTACCAAAAAATAAAATCCAGGACCAGATGGATTCATAGGTGAATTCTGCCTAACATTTAAAGAAGAGTTAATACCTATGCTCCTCAAACTATTCTAAAAAAGAGAAGAGGAAAGAAAGCTTCCAATACATTTTACAAGCCTTCTTTATTCTGAAATTTGATTTTGCATCCACGCAAAAGAAAAAAAGATATGGCAATTATCTGAGCAGATTTAATTCTATTGTAAAAAAAGAAATCATCATCTTTGTCTTTTCCACAGCCTTTCATTAAAGACAATTTAATGGACCACTGTATTTCAGACATTACCACATACAGCAGGTCATGTATAAGGTAAAAGACCTACAATAGCACTAGCAAACAAGGGTAGGACAGGGTGGTAGGTAGGACCCACCGTACAGAGAGGGCCAGGGACCCTACTGCGCTGTGCAAAACACATAAGAAAAACCAAGAAGGCTATGCAGCCATCAAAAGGAATGAGATCTTGCCATTTGCAACGACGTGGATGGAACTGGAGGGTATTATGTTGAGTGAAATAAGTCAAACAGAGA